CCCAGGTTTGCTGCCTCTATTGGAGTATAAAGAGGGTGGAGCTGATCTGTCTCTACAGTCTTCTTTCCACAGTACCTTCACACATATTAGGCGCTTAATAAATGTTTTCTGAATAAATCAGTGAGCCCTGAGAGTCATTCCTGTCTTCCTCTTTGCTGCTTGTGAACTGTGACTTCTGTGTTATAGCTGTGCAAATGTCTCAGCTTATTTTTCTACAGAGGCAGAAAGGGTCTATCTCAACAGCTGTATTGTACATGTATCACACAGCTAATGAACTTGAGGGTCAGTGTTGACAGTCACTGGTTTCTGCAGAAATGAAGATGAACAGGAACTCATAAATGTCTGTGTGTATGTGTACCTGTTTGTGTGTGCCTAGGTACATTTGGGTATGCACATGCATGTGGAGGCCAGACAGAGGTCAACTTGAATATCATTCCTCAGATGACATCTACCTTGTTTTTTTTTGAGACAGGGTCTCTTTCTGGCCTGGAACTCACCAAGTAGGCTAGGCTGACTGACCATCGAGCTCCAGGGATCTACCCGTCTCTCTCTCTCCAGGGCTGGGATAACATGTGTGTACCACTATATCTGACTTTTATTTATTTTTATCCTTTTTTTTAAACAGGTGTGAAGTTCTGTGGTTTTTAGTATAGTCACAAAATGTCTAACCATCAATCACAACTTTTAAACATTTCAATCGGTACCCCCAAACCCCATATCCATCAATAGTCACTTCCCACTTCCTCTCACCACTACCCCAGCCCTGAGCAGCCACTAATTTCCTTCTGTGTCTATAAATTTGCCGATTCACAATGTTTCAGCTAAGTAGAATCATAGAACATGTGATCTTTTTGTGAGTGGCTTTTTTTCCCTCAGTACAAGCACAATGTTTTCTAAGCTCACATATACTTGCAGATATCAACACTTTGTCTCCCAATTCTTTGGGCTCTGTAATAGTGCAGCAAATGTAGCACTTTTTGTTTCTGTTATTAATTCATTCATCATTTGATGGATATCTGTGTTGTTTCTACTTCCTGGCTATTGTAAGTTGAATAATGTAACTATGAATATGAATGTACAGGTCTTTGCATGGACATTTTCACTTCTCCCAGGTTATCTAGGAAGAGTGGTCACACGGTAACTTTTAAAATATATTTTATTATTTTTTTTTAATATTTTATTATTTTATTTTTTATTTTATGTGTATGCATGTATTGCCTGAGTGTAGGTAAGTACACCCTTGTCGTGCAATGCCCACGGAAGACAGAAGAGGCTGTCAGATCCCCTGGAACTGGAGTTATGGATAGTTGTTAGCTGCTGTGTGGGTGCTGGGATTCGAACCCGGGTCTTCTGCAATAACAACCAGTGTTCTTAACCACTGAGCCATCTCTCCAGCCCCATATGGTAACTTTTTCTGAGCTCGTGTGTACATGTATGTGTAGCCTTAAATTTTTTTTCCACATTATTTATTGTGTGCATGTGTGAGTGAGTGCACCATAGTGTATGTATGCCAGAGGACAATTTACAGAAGTAGGTTTTTTCCTACCACCATGTGGGTATCAGGAATGGAACACAGGTTATTAGGCTTGGCAGCAAATACCTTTAGCCACTGAGCCATGATACTGGCCATGCCTTTTTAAAAACAAATTATTTTATTTTGAGATAGGATTTTACTGCTTAACTCTGGCTAGCCTGGAACTTGCTATGTAGACCAGACTGACTTCAAACTCACAGAGATCCTCCTGCCTCCCCACCACCACCACTTGCATTTTAGAAACAAGGTTTCTCATTGGCCTGGGACTCACCAATTAAGCTAGGCCAGCAGGCCAGGGGGCTCCAGCAATCTGCTCTCTGCCTCCCCAGTGCTGGAATGACAAGAATGTGCCACCATACCCAGCTTCTTTTTTTTTTTTTTTTAGACAGGGTCTTCTTGTAGCCCCAGCTGGTCTGGAACTCTCTGTGTAGACCAGACTGGGCCTTGATCTCACAGAGATCTGCCTGCCTCTTGCTCCTAGGTACTAGAATTAAAGGCGTGCACCATCACACCCGCTTACACCAGCTTTTTTTATATGTCTTCTAGGGATCAAATGTGAGACCTCATTCTGTACCGAAAGCACTTTCCCAACTGAGTCACCTCCCAAGCCCTATACAATAGTTTCAGAGCCTCTGGGACTATGACCCACAGTGGCTGCATCATTTTAGTGCCATCAGCACTGTTCCAGAGTTCCTGCTTCTTCACACCTTCCAAACCTCTGCCTCTTGTTATCTGCCCTGTTTGTATTGTCACCTTCCTGGGTATGACACAGTGCTCTGAGCTCAGACTTTGCCACCATTGTGAGCTCTGGGCATATGAGGCTTTGATAACCTCTGCAAACCCCACTGCAGCGGCTGCTGGCTCTGTGACTTTGGGCACTCTTAACCTTCTAGACAGTTTCCTCACCTGCCAAAAATGCGACTCACTGCATTCCTTAAAAACATTTAGTGAGATGATACAGCCATGGGGTACATACAGTATGCAATTCCTTGCACATTACCGAGAACAATAAGAAGACTGAAAAAAAATCTACTTTTAAAAGAAGTTCCTTCAAGTCAAGAAGTGTGACCATCTCTAGTGTAATGAGGAAGAGGAAAGAAACAAAACCTGAGTGACCACAGGACTGTAAGAATCACACCTGGGCAGATGATGTACCAAGTACCAGGTCTCACCTGAACCACTCATCCTGTTCTCTGGCCTCTTCATTTTCTAGAATGATGGGCCCAAAGGAGCCCAAGGTAAGTTCCTCTAAAGAAATGCCTTGATAGTTTGTTGCTGTTGCTGTTGGCTGTTTGCTTTGACAGGGTCTCCAGTAGCCCAGACTGGCCTCAAATTCAGTAATGTAGCTGAGGACCACCTTGAAATACTGATCCTCCTGCCTCCAGATCCTGTATGCTGAGATTAGAGGTCTGTGCTACCATGCCCAGTTGTATGTGCTGCTGGGAATGGAATGCTGGGCTTCAAGCATGCGAGGCAAGCACTCTAGCAACTGAGCTGTATTTCCAGGCTGAGCTTTTGCAGTTCTTAAGACAACATGTTGAAAGATCCATAGATCAGAAAACGGTTGAAAACACTTCACTAGAAGATCAGGGCAAAGGGTCAATCAGGATGCCACTGACATCTATGGTCAAAATGAGAGAAGGGGAGATGAGGCACAGAGGGTGGTACCCATTTAGCTCCTCTCTGTCCTCAGCATGACTGGCCAAGCAGGAGTTTTCTAGCAGTGAAGATGAGTATGTACCCCATGTCTGCGCAGAGACCCTGGAGCAGATGAGAAGAGGCAGGAGCCAAACAAGAGGCCCAAGCAGGCAGCTCTACACTTGCTCCACTGCAGTAGGGCAGACTCTGCAGATCTGATCAACTAGCTAGCATCACCCTGGAGCCCTGCATGAGAACTCCTGGGCTCAGTTTTAAGAGCACCATGAAGGAAAGCCACAAGCAGATGAAATCATTCAAGTCTTTCCTCAAGCTCCATCACTGTCACCTACACTTTGATACAACATCTCTGTTCCTCAGATTCATGGATCAGTATTAAGGTGTCTTTCACCTCCATTAATTTTGTGCACCAAAACCACAGGCCAACAAAGATATTTTATCCATCTAAATCGTGGGTCAAAAACAGAACCATCTGATTCTAGCCTCTGCTCATCCCCACTCATCTCTTCCAGGGCTTAGAGTCTCTCTAACTCTTAGTCTTTTAAGGAGGAAGGAGGTAGTTGTCTCCTCTATTTGGCTAATCAAATCCCTTAGCCTGGGTACCGAACGGGGCAGGCACAAACTGGAAACTGCTCAATGCCAGAATCCTTATTACAATGTCTCTATGTCCAATTTTGGTTCATCTAGGCACTGTGCTTAAAGAGAGGGAAACGGCATCCTCCCTCCCTTTAGGCAGTGAATGTGAGCCAACTTTCTACAGACTGGGCTATGGATGACAGAGGGCTCTGGCCGTTTACCCTGCCCCAGGGGACTGCTCCAGCTAAGCTGCAGGTCCCAGCTTCCTGGTCTGAGACCTGGCATCCCATCCCTACCTTTGGGTCCCACAGCTCTCAACAAAACTACCACTCCTCTCTCCACCCACAATGTGTGGAGACTCAAACAGCCCAACCCTGTCTCAAAACACCACACAAACAAAAAGCTATTGAAGATTAAACATATTCAAATAACTTTTTTTTGCCAGGTGTAGTGGCACATGCCTTTAATCCCAGCACTCAGGAGGCGGACGCAGGTGGATCTCTGTGAGTTCAAGGCCAGGCTGGTCTATATAGAGTTCCAGGCCAGGTGGGGCTACAGGGAGACCTTGTTTCAAAATGACCAGAAAAACCCCAAAACAAAACAAAAAATATATTCAAAGAAGTTATAAAAGCAAAAAACATGGGAGGGATTAAAGAGTGGGTGAGGAGAAAACAGACCAGACAGCTAATTTCTGGCAGGGCCAGAGGCTTTTGTGCAGCTCTGGTCACACTTAAAACCGCACCCTCACCCTGCCCGCCTCCAAGTGTCCACCACTCAGTCCTGGCTCCCCCAAAACAGGTCAAGGCCCTCTGCCCCAGGCCTTCCCAGTGCTTTGTGGGGGAGCGCAGGGACCCGGCTTCTCCCTATCCTCACCAGGGACTGGAATGCCAAACAGAGCCGTCTACCCTAGGGCGACGGTGCACGGCCTGGGGGTGGCAGTGGACAGCCGGGACCCTTCCTTCCCGGCCTGGGTGCAAGGCTGCGCGGCCTCGAGAAGAGGAAGTCAGACGAAAAGGAACCTGAGCCCGGGGTTTCGGTGGGGAGCCCGGCCCGACCACGCAGGGCGGCGGCTGGAGAAGCGTGGGCCGGGTCGGGCCGCTCGGGGAAGTTTCCAGGAGACACTGGGGACACCGGCTGGGGCGCGCGATGCTCCCGGGGATCCCCGGCGGGGTGCGACCGGGTGTGCCCGTCCCCCCGATCGCTTTCCCCGCCACCCGGCGTGGCGTCCTCTTACCATCTGCGCCACTTTGAGCAGGGCCCCCTGGGTGCGCGGGTACACCGGGTCCAGCAGCCCCTCGGAGGGCTGGCCCGGCCCGGGCACGCCGCCGCTGCTGCACGTGGTACGGACGAGTCCGGATCCCTGCGACATCGCGCGGCCCAGCCTGGCGGGCCGCCTCCAGAGCCCCGGGACCTCCGGCCAAATAAGCAGGGATGGGGCGGGGCGGGGCGGGTGGCGCCGGCGGGGGCGGGGCGCACAGGTCCCCTCCCCTGCCCGCGTAGGGGACTTCAGCCAGCTGTGGCCAGAGGGTCACAGCCCGCGAGCAGATGCCTTGCAAAATGCCCTCCAGACGCACGGAAGTTGGGCTGGTGTGGGCAGGAAACCGGACGCCCGGGGCCGTGGCCTCTCCAAGAGCTCGCCACCCAGGTCACAGCTGGTGACGAACCTCCAGGGATTTTGTGTGGGTGCGGCTGCAGCTGGGTGCTGGCAGCCTAAGTTTAACCACCAGGGTCGAAATGCCCAGAAGGTACGGTGTAGCACTGTTAATTTCTCTGTGTGGGCATGTGTGCGTGCGTATGTGTGTGTGCGCACACACACCTGTGCAGCCATCACCCACCAGCAGGCCCATGTCCGTCAGCTCAGGACTCACCTTCTGCCTATGAAGTTCCAGTCTAGCCTGGACTTTATAGTATGAGACCCTGTTCCTTTTATTTTATTTTTTTAAACAAACAAACAAACAAACAAAAAACCAACAGAAACCGGCTGGAGAGATGGCATAGCGGCTAAGAGCAGAGGACCTGGGTTCGATTCCCAGCACCCACATGGCAGGCTGAAAACAGTCCATTTCCAGGGGATGCGATGTCCTCTCTGACCTCCTCAGGCACTGCACAACATGGGTGCACTTACATACATACAAGCAGTATACTCATACACAAAAAATTAAAATGATAAATTAATTAAAACAACAACAACAACAACCAAAAAAAAAAAAAGTAGTTAATGACACTGCTTTCGGTCATTATGGATTCCCTGAGCATAATCTTAGACTTCACATACTGAAAATAAATTGTTTAGTTTCATCCTCTCAGCCTAGCTCATTTAAGAGTCACCTTGTGGGGAATGTAAGTTTATTATCAGTGTTCCTTTTTTATATCTGAGTAATATTCCCCACTGTGTTAAAACAGGATATTTAAAAAATCATTTATGTGTTCATTTTCTTTCCTTTTTTTTCTTAGCTGTTATAACAATGTGGTGAGCACTCTAGTATGAGTATAAAAAAGTATGCATTCTCTTTTCTCTGAGATAAGCACTTACAAGTAGACTTGCTGAGTCACAGGGTCATATGCTTACTTCTATTAGAAGCAATGACAGTTATGAGGTGCCCTTCCCGGACAGGTCTATACAGAACTACAAAATGAGTTACATGGTTTTTTTGCATTTTTGTGTGTTTGTTGTTAGTTTTTTGTGTGTTTTTTGTTAGTTTTTTGTTTGTTTGTTTTTAAATGGTCTCATGCTATACATCCCAGGCTGGACTGGAACTCACTATATAGCTCAGACTGATCTCAAAATTGCAGCAATCTAAGGCCTCTCAAATGCTGGGATTACAGGCATGTGCCACCAGACCCAGTTTGTGTGTGTGTGTGTGTGTGTGTGTGTGTGTGTGTGTGTGGTGTATGAGTTGGTTTGGAGGCCCGAGGTGTCTTTCTCAGTTGCGCTCCATTTTTTTTTTTGTCTTTTTGAGACAGGGTATCCCTGTAGCCCTAGCTGGCCTGGGACTGGCTATGTAGACCAGGCTGGCCTCGAACTCACAGAGATCTGCCTGCCTCTGACTCTCGAGTGCTGGGATTAAAGGTATCCAGCTTTTCATCTTATTTTTTGTGACAAGGCAACTCACTGAATGTGGAGCTCATTGATTTGGCTAGGCTGGCTGACTAGAAAGCCCAGGGATCCTCGTGTCTCTGTGTGTACATGGCCATGGCTGGCTTTTTCATGTGGGTATTGGGGATCTGAACTCAGGTCCTCATGCTTGTGCAGCAATCCCTTTACTGATTGAGTCTTCTGCCCAGCCCCTGACTTCTAAAAATATAAAATTAATTTAGAGATAGTCTCTTTTAAAAAATAATTTATTGAGAATTTCATACATGCATATAAGGTGTTTTGATCAAATCCATGCCCACTCCCTCCCCTTTATTATTTTTATTTTATAAGTGTTATGCCTGCATGTAAGTAAAGTGCACCCGTGTCGTACAATGCCTGAGGAGGAAAGGAGAAACTGTCGGATCCCCTGGAATTAGAGTTATAGACAGTTGTTAGCTGCCATGTGGGTTCTGGGATTCAAACCTGGGTCTTCTGCAAGAACAGTCAGTGTCCTTAACTGCTGAGCCATCTCTCCAGCCCCGTAACCCTAAAATCTTTTAAGGATTGGATACAAGCTCCCAAATACTTTTGACATTTTTGGCCTTGGAACAGAATATGTTGCTAACAGGCCCAAGGACATTCCCTCCTCTGAAGAGGTAACCCTAAAATCTTTTAAGGATTAGATACAAGCTCCCAAATACTTTTGACATTTTTGGCCTTGGAACAGAATATGTTGCTAACAGGCCCAAGGACAGTTTGACTTTTAGCCAAGAAACTGGCTACATTTCTTTGGGGTCTTTTTACCCTAACTGACTAGCCAATTCCTACTTCCTATTCTTATCACACCATCCTCTGAAGAGGTTACCCAAATTGACAATAGGGAATCTGGATGCAGACCACTCTGGCTTCTTCCATACTGAACAGGGATGCAGAGATAGAGTCTCTACATTATATAGACCAGGCTGGCCTCAAATCATGATCCTCCTACCTCTGCCTCTCCAGTGCTGGGATGATAGGTATGTACTACTATGCCTAGCAGGCATTGTTTTTTTTTTTTTTAAGAGATGGGATCTCAGGCTCCAAGATGGCTCAGTGGATAAGAACTTTCCATGAAGGCTCAAGAACCAGATTTCAGAGTGCCAGCACCCACATAAAAAAGCCAGGTGAACACAGTGGGTCTGCCTGTCATTCCAGCACTCAGGAGGTAGAGGCAGGGTATCTCCAGAGTAACCTGGCTACCTAGGCTGGCTGAATCGGTGAGCTCCAGGTTCAGCCTGAGACTCTGCCTCACTAAATAAAATGGAGGGCAATAGGGCAATTACAGATGTCAACCTCTTGCTTCTACATACATGCACACACATGAGAACACACACACATACACACACACATATACATTAAATGCATAATTGAGAGAGAAAGAGGAGAGAGAGATTATGATATTGCCCAAGCTGGCCTTGAACTCCTGGGCTTCACTGATTTTCCTCTCTCAGCCCCCTGAGTAGCTGGGACTACAGGTGTATGTCCCCCACCCAGCCCCAAATGAATTATGTCACAATGTTCCTAGGAGGGCTGTCTCTTGTGGACATATTTATATTTACTGATATGGAAACACAGCAAAAATCTGTCTTCCTCTGATTGATCCCCAAAACACACACACACACACACACACACACGCACGCACGCACGCACGCACACACACACACACACACACACACACACACACACACACACATACATAACCTACCTCCAGGGCCTGGGGATATTCAGCTGATAGAGCGCTTGCCTAGCATGTGCAAGGCCCTGGGTTTGATTCCTAGCACTGCATAAACCAGGTGTGATGGTACATGCCTATAATCCCAGCACTGGAGAGATGGAAGCAAGAGGATCAGAAGTTCAAGGTCATCCTTGGCTACTTATGGAGTTCAAGACCAGCCCTGGCTACATGAAGCCCTGTCCCCAAACCCAAAAAGTCAAAGGTGGTGGTGCATACCTTTAATCCCAGCACTGGGGGAGGCAGAGGCCAGGTGGATCTCTGTGAGGCCAGCCTGGTCTACATAGCCAGTTCCAGACCAACTGGAGCTACAGGGAGACCTTGCCTCAAAAAACTAAAACTAAACCCCAAACCAAACCAAAACCAAAAAAACATACCTCCATAGCTTACTGGATATCAGCACCATGCTATTTTGTGAAGACTTTTCAATGTGACATCTTTATAATTGTAGAATATGGCTGATACTTGTGTAATCTTTCTTTCAACCCATCTCCTGTAGGAAACCAGGATGCCAGGCCCTAGGGTGAGGTGAGCCTAAAACTTTTACATCCAGGCTGCATTCTCTGCTAAAGGGAGGGGCACTGAAAACAGTGGCTCTGATAATTCCTGTCTTGCAGAACACTGGGAGACTGGCAGGAGGAAGCAGCCTGGTCATAAGTGTAGGCTCCCTGCTCTGTGGGAAAGCGTCTTGGTCAACAACCCTTAGCTCATCTCCTTGTCCTGAACAAATAACTCAGCTATCCCTGCTAAGAGATTAGGCCAGGTTAAAGGTTTACTCCTGAGCTAAAAGCTAAAAGTTCACCATGCTTTTAGCTCTAAGAAAGAAAACATTGTGGCCAATAAATTACCGGATGGGCATTGATAACCTTGAGTAAAAGTTTAAGAATCCTTCTGGCGCCAACTAACAGACTAAATGTCCTGTTTCTTTGTACCCTAAATCTGTGTATGTGACTGCCATATCCCACGTGACTGCTAGTTCCTTGGGATGTATAAAAACCATCTGAATTTTAAAATAGATTGTCTTGTTGAAAAGACACAGGTCCCAGGCTCCAAGACTCTGTCTCCGCCAATCAAGTCCTCTGCCCCAAGCCAGTAGGTCCCCTGCAAAGCAAAGCAAACCTGAGTCCCGACAATCTCCCAACTGATTCTGACCCATATCCCTCAAGGCTTGAGAACCCCATCATCACCAGCATCCACTAGAATTCAACACTAGGGGCTCATTACATCTTTTTCCTACATTTATGCACACATGACAATTCTCAGAACCCAAATAAAAATTGCATTCGGCATCTACCTGCTCATCATTTAGCAGTCTCAGCCACTTGGGCTCTCCATTTGTCCCTTTGTAAAACAGGAATTACTGCACTGTGGGGCTCAGTTCCGAGGTGCTGGGTAGGCAGGCAGGCTGGACCACTGCTGACTCTGAGCCAAGGAGAGCCATTGCGCACCCTTTCTCATTTGATTGTTGTGGCAGTTCGAATGAGACGTGCTCCCAAGAGGCTCAAGCATTTGAATACTTGGTCACCAGTTAGTGGAGCTATTTGGGAATATTCTGGAACCTTTGGGAGGTGTGGCCTTGCTAAAGGAAGTAGGTCACTGGGATGGGCTTTGAGCGTT